CAAGCTGATTACAGTAAATTGCCGAAGAATCCACAAATGGTTGTGCCACCACCAAATATCAATGGTAGCAACAACAATGCTGCAACAAATGGTAACAACGGTGGACCCTTTAAACCAGTGCCGCCACCAAAGCCCAAAAATTATCGACCACCAATACAAGGTGGTACTGGTGCTGGCAATGGCAATGCAAATTGGGAAAATGGCGTAAGTTTTTATTGCAAGAAAATATTTAATTGATTTAAATAAATATATAATTTTTCTTTAGGAACCTGGCTCACCACGTTCACCCAACGGCTTTTATTATCCACCTACACCATCACATCATCATTACTCACAACAAACACCTGGTTCACCACATCATGGTCCTAATAATAACATACAACCCACCTATGGCACCAACAGCAATTATAGTCAACAACCACAATATCCACCTACAAATGGTTACAATGGCAGTAATCACCACTATAATGGCGGCAGCGGCACTGGTCCATATATTGCACCACATCGTGGCATGCCACCACCTATTGGTAAGTGGTGGTAATAATATCCGTTAAATGAAGTCCAGTCTGATAAAAACAAATACAAAAATAAGACAAATCACTTTGAGCCAATGGCTTTAAGTTCTATTATTAAGTTTTACTATGGTAATTTCAATATATACTGAGAAGTAATTTACTACTCATAAAAAAATGTTACTAATTATGAACGTAGAAGAATTTAGTAGTTAAGGTAATATTAATTATCGCATATAGTATAATATTGTAGTTAAATTTCATGTAACATGTAAATATCATAATATGTTATGATATGATTATGTTATGATATTAACATAATATCATTATCAGGGTACTTTTGAAAAAAAATCGTAGTTAGTAGTAAAACTTCAAAAATTAATTTCATTCAAATAAATGAAAAGCAAGCATTGGTATACTTGAGTTCGGTTCCAAGAACGACCGAGTCTACTTTATGGAACCACTTGTCGTTATCGACGACTACGTGTCGACGACTACGACACCTCCCAAAGATACTACACAAACAGTTCCCAGCAGGCTACAACAACAATTACATTTCATCTTCATTGCGTATTAGACAGCTTTTAATGACATCTCCAGATTTCGAACTCTGTATGACGTAATTGAAAATCTATGATTCAAGCTAATCAAGTCTTAATACATTATATTTAAACAATATTACAATTTAGTATTTTGATAGTGTGCTCCGCAGCCCCATTTGCATTTTTAAATTTTTTTTCTGTTCTAGAAGTAAAAGATCTGTGCAAAATAAAAACAAAAAACGTTGATTTATAACTTGATATTTAATAAAATAAAAACAGAAAAGTTTAAAAATTCTTAAATTTTCAAACGAAGCAACAATTCTATACTAACCGGACACATAATTCTGAAAGACTTTATAAAACTAATAACGTAGTGGGATAATAAAATTCCTTTGGCAACTTAAAAACTCGTCTACAAACTAGATATCCAGCACTTAATACGACCACATCTCTATCAACCGCTTTTTTATTTTTTACCGTTAAGAAACCAGGATCTATGAGTAATACCATGATACCAACCAGTTCAACCTCATTAAAGTTAATAAAACAAGAATTAATAAAATGTTACTTATTTGTTATATATTTATTTCAAATAAATATTGTAATTAAGCTTTAGTTTATTATATATTAATATATTTAAGTAGTTCCATTAAGTATATATTAGAAGTACTATAAAAAAAGATTTATTAATTTAGTATTAGAGTAGTAATTTTTTGTATCTCCACCAACTTTTTAGAACAGCCATTGTGTAAATTATATTTTTTGAAGTACTAAATTTTTTAATATATTAAAAAATTTTTTTAACTAATAGGTAATCTTCCACCACATACGCCAGAACGGCATGCTCTGGACTTAGCAGGCAGTCGTGAACAACGGGGCTCAGCATTCGAACTATATCGTAAACCACAAATCGGTACAGCAGGGCACCATCATAACATGAGGTAAGTGATTTTTTAACTTCAAGTATATTCATAAAATCAAAATGAATATTTTAAAAAAATTAATAAAATATTAAACAAGTAAAATATTTTGTTATAGAAATTTTCATAGTACACAGTCTTTTCCCAAAACATTTGTCTCCCAACTCAATACAAATCTGACTTTTTCGATTTCTCTTTCTATTATATATATTCCCCCAAATTTTAATTATTTTGTGTTAACGAAAAATGTTTTTATTTTTGTTTATTAATTAATTATACTATGAACGCATAATCATTGAAAAAAAAAATTAAATAAGAAAATTTTAAAATCATACATTAATTCATGAAACTCTCATTACATTTTCGTATGGTTAAAGGCCATTGTATTTTTTGTTATCAACTTAAAACCCTTTGGATTTTTTCTATATATAATATATACAAAAACAAAAAATAAATTATCATTTAACGCACATAAACGCACAAAATCTCAATTTTGTTGTAAATAAAATAAATAAAATTTTTGCTGTATTTTGCAATAACCAAAAGGAAAAATTTAACAGAAATTTTTTAACATTAAAAAAAAAATTTATTTATTTTAAATTAAAAATAAATTAATATGGAATAAAATTAATAAAGATTAATTTAATAAAATAAAAATAAAACATTTTTCGGGTCAACTTCCGATTTTAAACTAAACTTAAAACTTTTCTTATAAATTAATTACTTTAAGAAATACAATTTCCTTTTAGATTTTAAACTTTTAGATTTTCGAACTAATTTTTATATAACAAAAATTATTATTTAATATAAGAAATAACAATCATAACGTTAAGGTTTTGGGTACGATTTTGCGTTACTCGTAGAGTTTTCTTAAAAAAATATATATATAATATTTTTTTTATAAACAAACCAATAACAAATGGTTAATTTACTAAAAAATGTTTATATTAAAAACAAAAATCTTTTATATAAGAAATCATATATTCTTTTACTTTAATAAATATTTCAAATTGGTGATCGGTTTAAAATTTAAAACAAATATAAATAAAGCTTTCCTTAAATTGGTATTTGCAAAATCAAATGATAATATATAACATTTTTCTATATAGCATATTATATTTTTTAAATTTATAACAAATTGAGAAAGCATTATATTGTGCGTGAGTGTGTTATTTTATAAAACCTAATATATTATTTATTGTCTTAATTAAATATCAAGAAAAATATAATACTTGTTATTTTTTTTTTATATTTTGACTATTCAACCATTTAATACCCAAGAATCCAATCCCGAAAAACCTAAATAATATATCTACCAAATTGGCAATATTTTCTGTTTTTAAGTATAAAAGCTACAGTTCCTCCTTACGTCAGTTTTAAAAATTACGAGTATTTACAATATAAAAATAGTTTATTATATGTTAATTGCATACACATTACTTTTTTAAACACTTTAATAAGAAATTCTCTTCCTTCTACAAACGCTGAAGCCAAATTAAAAACCCTGAAGAAAGTTTATAAACTTAATTCAACAAATATTTCCTGAAGATTTAAATACACAATTATCCATTATAATAATGTATAACTGAAATTGCAACTATACCTAGAGGAACTTATTTTTCATATTATTATCTTCTCAAATAAACTGGAATAACCTAATATCTGTTAGATAAAAATGGTTGTTCAATATAATTGCAACTAAAAATGATATATGCAAATATAATATACATATTTACACTGACTTTCAATATAAATACTTGCCAAAGTTAATTATTTTTGCCGAAAGCTACGCTTCATATGATTACAAGCTATTTTTAAAAGTTAGAAAGATTCAAATAGCAAAGAAAAGACAATAACAAAAATTTCAATAAATTAACTAAATTTTTGTTCTTGTTTTTTTTTTGCTATACGAATCCGACTAATAAATACTTTCCTTTTATTGGTTCAAATATAGAATATTTCTCAAAAAACATTTCTGGCAACATATAAAACTTGTATTAAAAATTGGACACAAAATCCATTTAGTGTTTTTCCCCGAAGAACCTTGAATAGTCTTAACTTAAAACTTTATTTTCGAAATTAAAAAAAAATAAACATTTTAAATAAAAAAAAATCCTCCTAATTAATTACATCTGTAGCGAAATGGAGCCATACGAACAAAGATATGATGAATATTATTCAATGCCACCACCACCGCCTCCAGGTCATCCTTCACAAATGCGTTCACGTTCTGCACAGCGTTATCATAATGAACGTTTACAAGAATCCAATTATTACAATTATCCACCAGCACAGTCTGCATCACATCACCAAATATCCGAACAGTATTATAATGAAAATGTTGTAGCGCCACCACCCTTGCCACCACATAAAATAAAAAAAAAATCCATGCTTAAAAGTCCATTGACTGCAATTAAAAACGCTTTAATAAAATCTACTCGTCCACTCAGACGTATGAACAGTATGGTTGAGCCGGAACGTAAACCAAAATCCAGTCTTAGACGTCAACAGTCAATGTTGGAGCGCGGTATGCAACGTCCATACTACCCCGATGAATATCCAACATATCCAGCTGGTTTTGAAGATCGTTATTATGGTGCATCAAGAAGTGGAAGTGTGCCGACACAAAATATGCTAACACGTGAACAGTATTATAGAGATCAACAACAGTATGGACGTCATTACCAACAGGAACTAATGAATAGTACGTATCAGAATTTAGAAACCGAAGATATTTATGGAAACCTGGGCACTGTGCCGCGCATGCACAAAGCATCACATACAGATTATAATGGCTATGAGCATGATGACTTATACGCTAACAGAGCACTAATAGATTTAGAACGACGACAAGCTGAAGCAGTGGCAGCAGCGAATAGAGGTGGTCGTAAAATTGTAAGAAGGCACAGCACCACTACTGCTGATCGTTCCGTTGGTAGAAGACAAATGACACCAATCAGCAGTGGCTTAGAATATGAACAGACTGATATGTATCAAAACAAGCAACATTCATATATGCTGGATGCACAGCGTAGAGCACCAAATTCAGAGGTAATGTCAAGACGTCGTTTTTATCCAGGTGCTGCAAATGAACAAGGTGATATAAATGAACCACTATATCAATCTCGTCGAGAAATGCAACGTGAAATGCAAAGAAGTCATTTGTATCAATCGAAAAAAGAAATGCAGGAACGCATAAGTCAGGGTAAAAGGGAAATGGAACGGGAATTTAGTCCACATAGTAGCAGCCAATCTGAAAAATCAGATCGTGATTCAATCTATCAAAGTAGACGGGAAGCCAGTCAAGTGGCGTTAAAGAATCGTGCGCAATTACGCGAACAAATTTATCAAACTCGTCGAGAGGCTTTAGAAAGTATGGCAGAGCCAATTTATGTCTCCAAACGTGATACCGGCAGACCAGAACCCATTTATGAATCCAAAGAGGAAAGTATATTGCAGTCACGTGAAAATGAAACCGATGAGAAAAAAGAGGAAAAAACTGAAATAACGGTGGTAGAGATAAATCAGGACGATGAGAGTCTTAGTCGTTCGGATTTACAAAAATCTACAGACACTGTTATAGAAAATACTGTCATACAAGCTAATGATTCTACAACAAGAACAGAGAGTAAAGCGCCATTGGTGCAAAGTGAAATTGATGATGATGATGATATTGAAAATGAAAACTCTAGTGCCGCTGATATACAAACAACGTGTATTGAAAATCAATTAAATCATGGCATGCTTCAAGATACCAATGAAACAAATGATTTATCTGACGAAGTTTTCGAAACTAAAGTGGAATCCGAACCATCATCAAATATAGTACAAGGGCCGCCAATTGAACCATTGGAACCACCTAAACCAACATTACCCTCAACACCACGTTCAATGCGTGCACCATTTCACATTTCTAATATATTAAAACGCACCGGCCCTCCTCCGCCACCAACGACAACAACAATCGGCGATAGTTGTACATCTATTGAAACACAATATACATCACAAGGTAGTCTACCCGTTGGACCGCCAAATGCTACCAGTACACCATACACTAGTAATATGTCCTTGCCAGTCGCAGGACCAGTACCAACATCAGCACCAGTAGCTGCTAGTTTGCCGGGTATGGGACAATTTCCTGCTGTACCTAGAGACCCTACAACGACACGTGGAATCTTTGATTTAAAAGGCGGTACTTTAGCGGACAATGTGTGGAATGTTTCACTACAAATACCGCCAGGCGCGATCCCTGCTGGCGTGCGACAAGAAATTTACTTTACTGTCAGTGACCCACGCATGGGCGAAGCTGTTGGCGGACCCCCACTGGATATGGAAAATGGTTTGTTTTTGTTTTATTTACATAAATATGATTCCTTTTCAGCTTCCTTTTCAGCGACCGACTATTAAAACTCTTATATATTTATTGTGTGTTTTTTATGCTTTTATGTTATTATTATTTATATGTTGTATATAAGTTGAGAATATTAATACACATATATGTGTTGTCCGTATGATTGTGTTTGTATTGTTTTAGTTAAAATTTAATATCTTACTAATACTGGTCTGGTTTAATGGTTACCTAACACATTTATAAAAATTGTTACTAACATTGTAATCGTCTATAACCTCTATCGACCTCACTTGATGCTAATAATCTATTTTCATATTTTTTTAACAAAACCCTATTTTTCACTTATCTATTCACACTATTCCTTTACAAATCACATGCTCAACAATTTTTACTCTGTCAAAAACGTGTTATAATTACAAAAATTAAGTATTATTTTATATAATATTATATAAACCTTGATTTTCTTTTTGCTGTATTGTTTAGTTGAATTAAAAAATTAGATTACAGTATCTATCCGCAAAATCGTACGCTTCCTCTCTAAACTACGGACGGTCATTTGATAATATTTCACTTTCCTTATATTGTGTATATACTCTAATTTATTAGAAGTGATACGGTCTTTAAGTGGTTTATTTAAATAAAATAATTATTTTTAGAACGATTTAAATATAGGAGTTGTTCTTCTAAAATGTCTTGTAGGTATATATGTTATATCTTAGAAGAAGGTGTGGACACCAAGTTAATTTATTTATTATTTAGATTCAATTCCATGATATTGAAGAAATCAAACTCTTATTAATTAAATCTACACTCCAATCAATATTTTGTTCAATGAGATCCTTAACCACTGTACATTCTGTATAAAATATATCCGTAATTTATAATTTAAAAAATATATATAAAAGTTGTCGAAACAATTATTTTTGTAAGTTGCCAACATTGTAAAATGTGATCAAGCGAAATTTAAGGTCGTTATGTTATCCAGTGTATTTATAGAAACAGTTTCCACAATCAGTTTGTCTGACTTTGTTTTAGTGTTTGTCTGGTTTTTGTAGCACCATTCTGAAGATGATTGGTTTATTTGCATGTCATTTTCACGAACCCTGGCGATGTCCCCAATTATAAATCGTTTCATGAAAGTGATGTCCGTAGAGAATATCTTGAGCCTATCTATCTTGATGTCTACAGCAACCTACTTTCGATGGTCTTCTTATATAAAATTAAGTTCTTTTGACACCAGTCGCGAGGCATCGTGTTTAATAATAAAAATATCAATAATAATGTAATATATACATACATATGACTACATTGAATATTGAATGAATAAACATATAATCCAAATTTGTTGTGAACTATAAAATACAACATTTCAAATAAATTATTTATTAATAACTTTTTAATATTTTCAATATAATAACTTAATTTGAGATGTAAATACTACTTACGAATTAACAAAGTCATGATTAAATTCTAACAGAAAAACAGTAATTCTCTTATCCTTAATTAATTAGAACAGCTTATACATATTTTATACGGAATATAATATAAATATATAGATCTAAAATAAAATAAATATATAGATCTTTTGTCCTAATACTAGATATGTATAATTAGAATAATTATAACATTTTCATTATTGCACTTATTTTGTGTTCAATGCATATATTCCTTCTATAATTTAAATTAGTTTTTATATATATATATAATTAGTTTTATTATCAGCGCTATCGAGTCTTTAGTTTAATAAAATTATTACTGGATCTATAATTGTATTACAGTCATGTTTTAGAAAATAAGTGTACACAAACGACTACCCCTTAAACCTAGGCAATGTACTATACATACCTAAAGATACTAAATATATTAGGCAGAACTTTTTAATTTCTTAGAGTGGGCCCGTAAAGAATATTTTTTTTCAGCATCAACAAATAAGTGTCGAGAATCTGCAACATATACTCCTTATAAAGTACTATATCGCATACAAACAACGCATGTTGCTTAATTACCTAAACTTGTTCGCGCTTATTATCAGCGCTAGCGAAAGAACAAGAATAGAGGCCAGACTTTTTTCAGCGCCTACTCTTGCTTATTTGGTATTTACTGATGTCAATCTAAACGACACGAATGACAGTTACAATAGTTAATTAATAGCTAATGCTTAAGCCCATCACATACAATAACGTTTTAAACAAGCTTTCTTTGTACTCAATGCAAGGTTTTCGTAATGCTAATATTAAGCGTAGTTTCTAATAATTAAGTTGCCGTTCTATATATTCTTTCCACTATGTTAGGTTCTTAGTCAGAAGTCTGAAACTAATAAGATATATCTGTCATGATTACAACAGAAGATTGGATAGCTTATATGAGATCAACTTCTTTAATATGTTGATTTCTGGGGTATAGTTGTGGTGGCTGATAGTTGTGTGTGGTGACGTTTATTATTTATTATATTGAAGTTTGGTTTAAAGAAAATCACCTTTGCAGAAACCAGATTTTAATTTTGATGTGTTAATTTATCGTGTCAAGTCCACAGTAACTTCACTTTAAATTTTAAAACAGCGTCTGTTATAGATCATCTTAAATTTGGATTAAATATAAATCAAAAAATTTGAAGCACGCTGATCCAGATTTTTATGTGTAAATGTATTATATCAAGACACTACTTTTAGCTAGTTATAGCTTCACTTCTTTCAAAACAATCTCTATTAGTGATAATCTTTAATTTCAGGTAAAATTAAAACACATTTCAAGTACCTACTTCTAGATTTAAATATGTTAGATTTTGGATACTAAGACACTTTAAGAATAGTTTCAATTTTTCGAACCAAGATCTATTAGTCTTTAAATATGGTTTAAAATAAATCACGTTTGTTATACCTAGATCCAAATTTTGATGTGTCAATATACTACATATAAAAATCTAGGAGATGAATTTTTAACTGCCAGATCTAATTTTTTTTATTTATATATCTTACAACACGATTTCAATTATACAAAGACTGAATACTTAAGAACAATTCCATTTGCTAGGACTTTTTTGAAGTAATGAACTTCGATATGCACTAATTAATTTAAATAGATTTTTTAACTAAAAACCATTCACAATTCTTTCACACCGTCTAAAGATTTTTAACCTTATATACCTAATTTTTTAAAAAAAAAAACAAATAAATTTTATATAATTGTTAATAAACAAATTATTATTTGATATCACTTTTTATTGTGTTTGCAAACATTTAAAAATAAAACAATTTATTAAATTTAATAATCTTAAACTAATCTTAAATTAACTTTTTTTAATTTAGGTGAAACAATGCTCTCACCACTTGTTATGTGCGGTCCACAAGGTCTTGAATTTTTAGTACCCGTAACACTCAATATACCACATTGTGCTGGACGTACCGCTTCCCTAGGATTAGCACTCAAAGCGACCGATAGTGAAAAAAATTTACATACCGAATGGGATAATATCGATCTACCAAGCAATGCGGCGGCTCATACAGTATCGGTGAAAGTAGATCACTTCTAATTTAATTATATACCTAGTAATAATATTATAATAAATGTATCTATT